TTTTTTTCCCCCTGTGAATGACGACGTGATTGTTGCTCCCTCCAGCTGAGACCCCTGTGCCGGCCGCCCCCCAGAACCCGTGCCAGCCTTCTCCGTGTGGACCCAACGCTGCTTGCCAGGTATCAGGGGACGGGCCATCATGCTCTTGCCTACCCGATTACACGGGCTCTCCGCCCAACTGTCGTCCGGAATGCGTGAGCAATAGCGAATGCGCAAGTCACCTGGCATGCATGAACCTCAAGTGCCGAGACCCATGTCCCGGATCGTGCGGAGCCAATGCAGAATGTCGAGTGGTGAGCCACACGCCCACCTGCGTGTGTGTTGCGGGCTTCACCGGAGACCCGTTCACGCAGTGCGTGGTGCAGCAACGTAAGGGAATTTACTATCTAAGCCAGTGTGCCTGAAATGTGTCCTCTCACTTTGGCGTTTGTTTTCCTGATCGCCCACGACTTGACTTGGTCCCTTTCAGCGGAGCAGCTTCCACAGGAGAGACCGACCCCCTGCGTACCGTCCCCATGCGGACCGAACGCAGTGTGTAGGGAACAGAACGGCGCAGGATCGTGCACCTGCCTTCCCGACTATGTGGGTAACCCGTACGAAGGCTGTCGACCGGAATGTGTGTTGAACACGGACTGCGCACCCAACCGAGCCTGTATACGGAACAGGTGTCAGGATCCTTGTCCGGGCACTTGCGGGCCGAACGCCGACTGCCAGGTGGTGAACCACTTACCATCTTGCACTTGTCGGCCCGGCTACACCGGCGACCCCTTCAGATACTGCACCCTTCAACCACCGGAACGTAAGCACTTGTCAGTCGATAGCAGTTGCAATTTACGATGAGGTTTCTCATTAATTAAACTGAAGGTAGCTCCGCTCATAGCACCCTCCTCACTGCCTGTCGTTTTTCTCTCTGTCGTTACGCAGCTGTGCAAGCAGAGCCCGGGGATCCGTGCAACCCGTCGCCTTGCGGTCCGAACAGCCAATGTAGACAAGTGAACGGACAGGGCGTGTGCTCATGCCTGCCCAATTACATCGGTAGCCCGCCGGGCTGCCGACCCGAGTGTGTGGTGAGCTCGGAGTGTCCTCAGAACAGAGCCTGCCTGAATCAGAAGTGCGTTGACCCGTGTCCCGGGCCTTGCGGACAGAATACCCGCTGCGAGGTGATCAACCACAGTCCGATTTGTAGCTGTCGCCAGGGTTTTACCGGCGATCCCTTCTCCAGATGCTTCACCATCCCACGTAAGCCCTCGCAGCACTATTCTCTTGCTGAGGTGTCAGTGAGTCTGAGTTCCCTGAGCGATGTGTATGTGTGTGTTTATTGGTGCCTCCTGACGGTCGCTTGCCTGTGTTCTTGTAGCTCCACCCCCGCGTCCAGCTGCCCCAGTGGTCGTGGACCCTTGCGTACCGTCTCCGTGCGGACCGAACTCCCAATGCCGAGATATTGGAGGTGCCCCGTCCTGCTCTTGCCTAGCTAATTACATGGGAGTTCCTCCGAACTGCCGGCCCGAATGCAGCATTAACTCCGAATGTCCCAGCAACAGAGCGTGCATGAGGGAGAAGTGTCGCGACCCGTGTCCGGGATCTTGCGGCGCAGGAGCCCAGTGCAGCGTCATCAATCACACGCCAGTGTGCACTTGTCCGGAAGGATATACAGGAGATCCCTTCACCAACTGCTTCCCGAAACCACCGCCACGTAAGCAACATCCCTTTCTTGTGTAGAGTCTGTAGATTCTGTGATGGATTATCGCCTTCGGGCCAGGTAGCCCGCCCAGGGAAATGAACAAGAACACACACGTACTCTTAGTTGCAAATGGCATGACACATACGGAAAGGGACAGAGGGGAAAGCGCTTGACAGATACACCTCAATTTTCCTCTCGTACTAGAGTGCGACGGCATGTACAGCCAAGCTGTCCTTGGGTTTCAGCTGCCGAACCGGTGCAGTCCGACCCATGTAACCCGTCGCCTTGCGGCCCGAACGCCCAGTGTCAGGATGGAACTTGCACTTGCTTGCTGGAATACCAAGGTGACCCGTATTCCGGTTGTCGCCCCGAATGCGTCCTCAGTACAGACTGTCCGAGAAACAGGGCGTGCATCCGAAACAAATGCGCCGACCCCTGCCCGGGCACATGTGGCCAGGGGGCCACGTGCGACGTCGTGAACCACATCCCGATATGCAGCTGCCCACAGGGCACATCTGGAAATCCATTTGTGCAATGCAGACCCGTACCGCGTACGTAAGGCAATG